TAAACACTCATGATGGAGACGGTATGTCTATTTCAATTTATGTTCATTCATGTTTTTTATATTATTTTCATATTATATTATATATAATTGATATAGTTAATTATTCTGCTTCTATTATAGGATTGCGAAGATTCCAGCAATCAAATGGTCAAACCTCGTGGTTCAGATCATCGATCCTTGTCTCGAATTCTTAGCAATAGTTCGAGTGAGTTGACCCATATATATGATCATGATGACATCATTGCTGTTACAGACGGCCGAAATGTTAATTCCATACCGAGTGCTGTATTAGCATCTGCTCCCCTCGTGAGCTCGACGGTTGATGACGAATTGAGAAAAGAGTTATGTAAGTCAAAATTTGAATATACAAAGATCAAAAAATAATATTGATAACAATCAATAATTTAAAATAATATATATATATATATATATATATATATGAATGATGAGGTCTTGAGAGGAAGGTGTGTGTGTGTGTGTGTGTGTGTGTGTAAGTGTGTTGAGAGAGAAACAAGATCACTGATTACTGCCAGCATACATACCATATATAGAAAGTACTTTGTTGTTTAAAAATAATATTACACACATGTGTAAATTTCAAATTAAAATTTAATAAAAAGGGCTGTAAATGTTTGAAAATGTTTACCACATATCTATCTATCGTCAAACTTTCGCAGTAGTAGCCGTGCCAAGTTCCAAGTGATATCCCCCCCCCCTCCTCTCTCTTTTTCTCTCTCTATAACCTTCTACCTCTCTCTCTCTCTATAACTACTTCAAATAAATTTGAGCTGTGCAGAAATATAAGTGACGTTTTTTTTCATCTTATTTCGATAATAATATTCTTCAACTTTTATGAAAACTATGAGGTTCTTCAATCAGTTAATGTATAATTCACTTGCAAATTGCTATGTTAAGAACCTGTTTTGGCTTTATTGTGTGTGTGTGTGTGTAAGTTCATTGTTGAAAGTATTAATTTTTTGTTTTTTTTTTATTTTCTTTTTAAATATTTGAAAATAAAATTGAGAGGGGAATGTAGGAGATTATAAAGGGAGCGACAGAGAGTCTCTTTCGTTCATTTTAATTCTTTCTTCCTTCTTTTTTTTTCTCAAACTTCAAATCATTATGTGACGAACCTAATAAACGATAAGGCCAATCGCATTAACTGTAATAGAAAAAATGAGTTGATAACGATTTATTTTGAGAAAGTGAAATCATTGTATTGTATAGAGATGTATCATATAGATGCAATAGAGAGAAAAAAGAGAGAGAGAGAGAGAGAGAGAGAGATAGAGAGATAGAGAGAGAAACATTGAATAAATCAAAACCTGTTTGTTCTATCGACTCGTTCAAAAAATAATAAGATGAGAATGAAAGATATAAACAATTTAATAAAATACTAACATTCTCGAACTAAATGATTGAAAATAAAAAAGAAAAAAGAAGTTTATTGAATAACCTCTAAATGAGATTATAAAGGTAGATGGGTGTCAAATGATGTTGACGGATGATTAGTGTTTAGTGTGTTATCCATATGTTATCAGTGTTCATTAAATACGTGTGCTCATGTAATTTTCACAATCATTTTTCACGTGTTCTAAATATTTTCTTTAATTAATATCATTGTATATTCATTCTTTCATTCTACTTAAACATCATTGAGATGTTGAAAAGCAACAAAACATTCGCCTTCATCACTCTTCTTATCTCCTTCTCTCTCCCTCCCTCTCTCTCTCTCTATGTTTTTTAATTTTCTTTTTTGAAAATTAATTTTTGTGCACTAAATGGGTTAAAAACCAATTTTTATATTTCACGCATCAATAGGGTATTTAATTCAAATTTTCATGAATAAATTTCATGTGACAATGGAAAAAGTGAGCAATTCGTATTTCGCTGTTTGAATCAAAAATGTAATTTTACATTTTGAACAAAGCTATTGGAAACAGTTTCAACATTTAGCTTCATTATATTTCATTGTTAGATTAGAAGTAGTATGCATGTGAAACAGTTGTTACATGTGATATTCCTCTGACCAGCTGTATTATACTATATACATAAATATATATATATAGATAGATAGAGATAGATGTCTAAACTATGTAGTTGATAAGATTGTTTGGATTGGCCCGACGACACTATAATCTTACTTCCCCCCCCCCCCTTTTTCCATTCATATGTTATAATTATGAAAGATTATAAAGATATCATTAAGGAGAAGATTAATTTGTAGGCTTTCTTCTTCTCCAATTATTGATATGAAAGATATCATCTCATCGTTCGTTATGCTACTCTTTTGAATATGCCTTGTGTGCCTTTTTTTGTTTCTCATATTCAATATATATCTCATAGCTCTACATATGTGAATATGTTGAATATAGGAAGCGGGTTCTCAATGGATTGCATCGACGTACAAATCATCATGTCAAGACATAATCTGATCCATAATGCTCATGACAATCTCATATATATTTATAAATATATATATATATATATATATATTTCTCTTCTTCTATATATTTTATCTAACTCCCGATTTGCAAGATGATATAGCATTAGGTGTCAATACAATTGTTCCTTATTCACTTTTTGGTGTTCATATTTCATTTCGGCATGGCAGACTATAACTCTTTCAAGTTGATTAGATGCCAGCTCAAACCATCCTTTCATGATTGAAATCATGCCAAATCTCATACTTTTCTCTTCTTTTCCATTTTTTTTTGATTTCTTCATAGTATCCATTATTCGAACAACTCAACTCCTTTCTCATTTCCGTTAAGTAATTTCGATGAGGAAGTTCAATGCATCGTTCTACCGAAATAATGCATTTTCAACTTGATTCTTACTCTCATGCTCACAACCCATCCATCCCCTCCTACCGTACCACTCATAATTGTGTTGTATTATATTTTATTTAAAAACCTATTCCAATAGAAGTAGAAGGAGAAACATGACAATTTTCTTACTCACTTCTCACTTTTGAATAGCATTAGAGGAGTAGCTCTTAATGTCTGATGTGATTTGATTTTGGCATCTCTTTCTCTAATTTAGTCGTACTATTCCTCTTCCTCTAGCAATTCCCAACTGAGATTTCTATGACGAAGAGAATTCAAGTAAAACGTTGAAGATGATTTTCAACAGCCATAAAGCTCATCATTTTCATAAGCTATATGTTTCGAAAATGAAAATGAATAGAACCTTTCCTCATAGCATCTCTTCACCAACCTTTATCCCATTTTCTTCTTTTTTTTTTCTTTTTCTCTTCTTTTTTTTTCGTCTTCATCTCAATAACAACCATATTATAAAAAAAAAACCTTTCAAGGATATTTTTGTTTTAATGGCATTTCCTTGGCTAAGATTAAAAATCATGAAGATTAAGACGTCTGTAATGTGAACGTATCTTAGATACCACTATATGATCTATTTCATTTTTCATATTATTATTTTATATATCATAGAAACCTGCCAGGCATTTTGCGTTTTTGTAGCTTAGGAAACCTTTCAAAGTCTTATTTAAAGGGAAAAAAGATTGAAATGCACTTTATTTATTGTGGTTCTAGCAGATAAAGAGAGAGAGAGAGAGAGAGAGAGAGTAGGAATGAATTTCATTCTTACATCTCTCTCTCTATTTCCTGAATAAGGAAGTATGCAGATATGTTGGATATCTCGAAGGTCTTTTTTGTGTGTTGATTTCATTCCCCTTCTCCCTCATTTGCATATGAATATGCTAATGTTGTAAACTTATCTCTGTTTCTCAAACAATCTGTATCAAATTTTCTTGAACAAACGTTTATTTTATATTAAATTATTTATTATTAGCTCATTAGCATGTGCATATCGCGTGAAGTATAAACAGTAGATGCAATGAATCTGAGTATATACCTCGTGATCTACTTTTACTTTCATAAACTCGTTGATCTGCTTGTTTCAATATTTACAAGTTCTCAATGTCGCATAGCTTCTGCATCACAAATTAGCGTTATAATTCAATCATTTTCTTCTGCGCACTAGTTCGAGGCTCGCTTACTAATTGAATTTTGCTTTCTTCGTTGTTTGAGCACATACAAATTCATTTTACTCCAAAAAAGTTGTCCATAGAGCTCAGTACTATCATATTGTTTCATATTTGATACTTCTTCCTATTTCTTCTTCTTCTTCTTCATCTTTCATTATCTTCACATTCAGAAGTTGAATGTTTATAGCGATCTCAGTCCTTTTCCTTTACTCTCTTCTTACATGTCAAGTTTAGTATGTCAAGCCCTCAAGCGAGTAATATAACGAGAAGGTTCTCTGAGCCTGACTCAAGGCTATCATTTGCTGAAGCTACTGGATTGGATACAAGCTTTAATGACCCTGTCATAGAATCAAGTCTTGCACTCTGTAAATTTAGTGAGGCAATTGGTATGTAGATTGAACAGTGAAAAAACAAAATAAAAAATGAAAAAAATAAATATTTCCATCATATGATATGGGTATGGAATGATCTCATTTTACAGCTCAACGCATTGAAGGCAAGGCATTTGTTCGTCGAGGAGCTTTACGTCAAAAGAATGTTCATGAAATCAAGTAAGACTACTCATCCATGACCGAATGATGATTCTCTCTCTCTTTTCTTTCTTCTTTCAGAAGTCATAAGTTTATTGCCCGCTTCTTTAAGCAACCAACCTTCTGTTCGCACTGTAAAGATTTTTTATGGGGCTTAAACAAACAAGGATTTCAATGTCAAGGTTCTTTTTATTATCAATAATGCAAGTATTGATCTATACATGTTAAGTTTGTGTGCT